GAGAATACCGCCCAAGTGTGTCGGTGACGCTGACCCATTCGCTGGCCTTGGGGACGTCTTCCTTGCCGATCATCCACATCAGGGAGAGAGGTTTAAATGTCAGTTGGTTTATGAGAAAAGTGTATTTTTGAAAATTATACTTACAATTAAAAGTCACAGCCTATCACATTTTTGAGAAAGGCCTTAATGCAAAAAATCAGAATTATAATTAAAAGCCAGAGCCACAGGTGCTAATATTTGTAGTTTTCTAGTCACAATATAGGAAAAAAAGTTTTAAAAATCGAGACTCAATATTGAGGAGGAGATTAAGAACACATATTGTAAAGAGAGATACCTTATGGGGCAGATCATCTCTCATGACTTGTCATTATAAAATTTTTATTGTTGCTTTAAAATGTCATTAGGACATTTTGAATAATCTGTAAGTAATTACGTTTAATCATTTTCCTTCTTTTCCTAAAAACAAAAATTAAACTTTTAAATTGGAGTCAGACACACCCAGGTATTTTCCAAAACTTATTGAAATAATAAACAAATTATGTTTCAAGACAAACTTCACAGACAATAAATACCTCGTGACGATGGTCCGGCCGTGGTATTTCTCGGGTATTCGTCCCGATCATCCTCAGTTCCAGTGGAGTGGTCCTGGTGATGAAGACATATGTCAATTAGGAATATCCTCTTCCATCTGTACAGTTTGTTTGTTTCAGAAAATCAAAAGAGTTGTTATAACATTGTTTACTGTTAGTTTAAAAGATCAAAAAGGAATTTAGAAAAATCTGTCCGTAAATACAATTGATCATTTTCCGTTTTCACCTAAATTGAAAAAAAAAGACTTTTACATTGAACTCATGTCCATGGATAGGTATTTTTCTAATTTTATTGAACTAATGGACAAATGGTTTTCCATGACATATGTATCACGACTCAGAGGAATCCAGCGCTCGTCAACTTTTGGGCATATGGAATTATTAGAATCATTTTGAAGGTTTTTCATATGCCTTGCTTTCGATGAATAAATATCCATTTATCATGAGAAGAAGTCGAGATATTTGCAATTGAAGGAGGTGGAGTCGCCTGGTTTCAGAAGTAACAATAGCGGGAAAATGACCGCCAAAGATTTACAGTTCTTGGAAACTGAAAATTTACATTTCTTGTGCCCGTAATCAACGTTTTCCATAAAATACACACAAAAAAGTGTTTTTGAATGGACATACAAAGGTGATGAGTCAAAAGAAATTTTTAAAATCCAAACTGGCTGAAAAATGTCTATTTCTCAGATTTCATTATTTTGACGAGCACTTGATCTTACCACGATGCATCACATATTACTTAGACAAATACCTCCTGCCGATGGTCCGGCCGTGGCATTCCATGGTAGTCGTCCCGACAATCCTCCACTCCAGCGGAGGGGTCCTGGTGATGAAGACATGTGTCAATTAGGAATATCCTCTTCTATCTGTACAGTTTGTTTTTTTTGTTTCAGAAAATAAAGAGTCGTTATAAAATTGTTTATTGTATGTTTAAAAGGACAGAAAGATAATCATAAAATCTGTCTGTAAATACGTTTAATGATTTTCCTTCTTCTGCTAGACGAAAAAAAACCACTTTTACATTGATGTCAGACACACCCAGGTAACTTCCTAAACTTACTGAAATAATAAACAAATTATGTTTCAAGACAAACTTCACATATAATAAATACCTCCTGCCGATGGTCCGGCCGTGGTATTGTTTGGGTAGTCGTCCCGATCATCCTCCGCTCCAGCGGAGGGGTCCTGGTGATGAAGACATGTGTCAATTAGGACTATCCTCTTCCATCTGTACAGTTTTTTGTTTCAGAAAATCAAAACAGTTGTTGTAACATTGTTTACTGTTGGTTTAAAAGATCAAAAGGAATTTAGAAAAATCTGTCCGTAAATACAATTCATCATTTTCCGTTTTCACCTAAATTGAAAAAAAAAGACTTTTACATTGAACTCATGTCCATGGATAGGTATTTTTCTAATTTGATTGAACTAATGGACAAATGGTTTTTAACGACATATGTATCACGACTCGGTAGAATCCGGCGCTCGTCAATTTTTTGGCATATGGAGTTATTGGAATCATTTTAAAGGTTTCTCATGTGCTTTGCTCTCAATGAATAAATATCCATTTATCATGAGAAGAAGTCGAGATATTTGCGATTGTAGGAGGTAGAGTCGCCTGGTTTCAGAAGTAACAGTAGCGAGAAAATGACTACCAAAGATTTAGAGTGCTTGGAAACGCAAATTTACATTTCTTGTGCCTCTAATCAACGTTTTCTATAAAATACACACATAAAAGTGTTTTTGAATGGACATACAAAGTTATGAGTCAAAAACATTTTTAAAAATCCAAACAGGCTGAAAAATGTCCATTTTTCGGATTTCATTATTTTGACGAGCGCCTGATCTTACCACGATGCATCACATATTACTTCATAGACAAATACCTCCTGCCGATTGTCCGGCCGTGGTACTCCTTGGTAGTCGTCCGCATCATCCTCCGCTCCAGCGGAGGGGTCCTGGTGATGAAGACATGTGTCAATTAGGACTAGCCTCTTCTATCTGTACAGTTTTTTGTTTTAGAAAATCAAAAGAGTCGTTGTAACATTGTTTACTGTAGGTTTAAAAGGACAGAAGGATAATCATAAAATCTGTCTGTAAATACGTTTAATGGTTTTCCTTCTTCTACTAGAAGCAAAACATAAACTTTTACATTGATGTCAGACACACCCAGGTAATTTCCTAAACTTACTGAAATAATAAACAAATTATGTTTCAAGACAAACTTCACAGACAATAAATACCTCCTGCCGATGGTCCGGCCGTGGTATTGTTTGGGTAGTCGTCCCGATCATCCTCCGCTCCAGCGGAGGGGTCCTGGTGATGAAGACATGTGTCAATTAGGACTAGCCTCTTCTATCTGTACAGTTTTTTGTTTTAGAAAATCAAAAGAGTCGTTGTAACATTGTTTACTGTAGGTTTAAAAGGACAGAAGGATAATCATAAAATCTGTCTGTAAATACGTTTAATGGTTTTCCTTCTTCTACTAGAAGCAAAACATAAACTTTTACATTGATGTCAGACACACCCAGGTAATTTCCTAAACTTACTGAAATAATAAACAAATTATGTTTCAAGACAAACTTCACAGACAATAAATACCTCCTGCCGATGGTCCGGCCGTGGTATTGTTTGGGTAGTCGTCCCGATCATCCTCCGCTCCAGCGGAGGGGTCCTGGTGATGAAGACATGTGTTAATTAGGAATATCGTCTTCCATCTGTACAGTTTGTTTTTTTTGTTTCAGAAAATTAAAAGAGTCGTTATAACATTGTTTACTGTTGGTTTAAAAGATCAAAAGGAATTTAGAAAAATCTGTCCGTAAATACAATTCATCATTTTCCGTTTTCACCTAAATTGAAAAAAAAAGACTTTTACATTGAACTCATGTCCATGGATAGGTATTTTTCTAATTTGATTGAACTAATGGACAAATGGTTTTTAACGACATATGTATCACGACTCGGTAGAATCCGGCGCTCGTCAATTTTTTGGCATATGGAGTTATTGGAATCATTTTAAAGGTTTTTCATGTGCTTTGCTTTCAATGAATAAATTTCCATTTATCATGAGAAGAAGTCGAGATATTTGCGATTGTAGGAGGTAGAGTCGCCTGGTTTCAGAAGTAACAGTAGCGAGAAAATGACTACCAAAGATTTAGAGTGCTTGGAAACGCAAATTTACATTTCTTGTGCCTCTAATCAACGTTTTCTATAAAATACACACATAAAAGTGTTTTTGAATGGACATACAAAGTTATGAGTCAAAAACATTTTTTAAAATCCAAACAGGCTGAAAAATGTCCATTTTTCGGATTTCATTATTTTGACGAGCGCCTGATCTTACCACGATGCATCACATATTACTTCATAGACAAATACCTCCTGCCGATGGTCCGGCCGTGGCATTCCACGGTAGTCGTCCCGATCATCCTCCACTTCAGCGGAGGGGTCCTGGTGATGAAGATATGTGTCAATTAGGACTATCCTCTTCCATCTGTACAGTTTGTTTTTTTTGTTTCAGAAAATAAAGAGAGGTTATAAAATTGTTTACTGTAGGTTTAAAAGGACAGAAGGATAATCATAAAATCTGTCTGTAAATACGTTTAATGGCTTTCCTTCTTCTACTAAAAGCAAGAAATAAACTTTTACATTGATGTCAGACACACCCGGTAATTTCCTAAACTTACTGAAATAATAAACAAATTATGTTTCAAGACAAACTTCACAGATAATAAATACCTCCTGCCGATGGTCCGGCCGTGGTATTGTTTGGGTAGTCGTCCCGATCATCCTCCGCTCCAGCGGAGGGGTCCTGGTGATGAAGACATGTGTCAATTAGGACTATCCTCTTCCATCTGTACAGTTTTTTGTTTCAGAAAATTAAAAGAGTCGTTATAACATTGTTTACTGTTGGTTTAAAAGATCAAAAGGAATTTAGAAAAATCTGTCCGTAAATACAATTCATCATTTTCCGTTTTCACCTAAATTGAAAAAAAAAGACTTTTACATTGAACTCATGTCCATGGATAGGTATTTTTCTAATTTGATTGAACTAATGGCCAAATGGTTTTTAACGACATATGTATCACGACTCGGTAGAATCCCGCGCTCGTCAATTTTTTGGCATATGGAGTTATTGGAATCATTTTAAAGGTTTCTCATGTGCTTTGCTCTCAATGAATAAATATCCATTTATCATGAGAAGAAGTCGAGATATTTGCGATTGTAGGAGGTAGAGTCGCCTGGTTTCAGAAGTAACAGTAGCGAGAAAATGACTACCAAAGATTTAGAGTGCTTGGAAACGCAAATTTACATTTCTTGTGCCTCTAATCAACGTTTTCTATAAAATACACACATAAAAGTGTTTTTGAATGGACATACAAAGTTATGAGTCAAAAACATTTTTAAAAATCCAAACAGGCTGAAAAATGTCCATTTTTCGGATTTCATTATTTTGACGAGCGCCTGATCTTACCACGATGCATCACATATTACTTCATAGACAAATACCTCCTGCCGATGGTCCGGCCGTGGCATTCCACGGTAGTCGTCCCGATCATCCTCCACTTCAGCGGAGGGGTCCTGGTGATGAAGACATGTGTCAATTAGGACTATCCTCTTCCATCTGTACAGTTTGTTTTTTTTGTTTCAGAAAATAAAGAGAGGTTATAAAATTGTTTACTGTAGGTTTAAAAGGACAGAAGGATAATTATAAAATCTGTCTGTAAATACGTTTAATGGCTTTCCTTCTTCTACTAAAAGCAAGAAATAAACTTTTACATTGATGTCAGACACACCCGAAAAATTGCAGATTTTTCAGATTTAATTATTTTGATGAGCGCGTGATCTCACCATGAGGCCTCACATATTACTTCACAGATAACAAATACCTCCTGCCGATGGTCCGGCCGTGGTATTCCCTGGTATTTCACGACCGACTGATTTCACCACAATGCCTCACATGTATATATATATATATAATAATATATATCATTAAAAATTTCGATTTAGTTTTGACTAGACTTAAAAAATCAAAGAGCACTATTTCTGAAAATAATTGTCGGGAATATCTAAAATATTTAAAGCACACTTTGAGTGAGCAATTTTAAAGGACATTAAAAAGCAAATTACCTTCTGAGGAGGATTAACATGCATCTTAAGCGATCCTCGGGTTGGAAGTCCTTCTTCCGGTCTTGACAATCACTTGGGTAGCATGCCCATAGAAGTAACCCAAGGCAGAGAATGTCGTGAGTGGCCGGAGGGGTCAGCCAAAGCCGAGGGTGGAGATGCTGATAGAGGGGACAGTGAAAGGGGAAACAGTGCGTCTTCGCGGATGGTTCGGTGCAGTGTGGGGTCAAGTCCTGATGGGCTTTCGGCGTCCGTGTAGGCGGGGTCATGCAGAGAGAGCAGTTAGGTGCCACCAGTAACCACGTCTAGCATGTGCATGGAGATGAGAGCTGTCACAGAAGCCTCTGACTGGAAAAGGGCCATGGAATGTCCTACTGCCATCCTAGTCATTGACCCAATGAGTGCCCTCGAGATGGTAAAGAGACCCATCCTGTGTGCAGACTGGCTAGATTTGACGCAAAGCAGCGACTCGCAAGGGCTGAACGGATCTTGAGCAATGGTCAATAAGGAGTTTGAGGCAATGAACGTGTTGATTAGCTTGCCGGCCAGCTCATCAGCACGTTCATTTTTGCCTCAAAGTCCTACATGACCAGGGCTCGGGATCCATGCTGCCTTTGTGAGTCTGCTGCTTGGCATCACCTCTAGCCAGTCTGCATACAGCATGCGTTTCTTCACCATTTCGAGGGTGCTCATCGAGTCGGTGACAGGGATGGCAGTGTGACACTCCGTCGCCTAAATCCAGTTTGGGGCTTCTGTGGTGGCTTTCAATCCATGCACCTGCTGGGCGTGGCCTGGTGGCACTAAACTGCTTTCTCTGTGTGACTCCGTTTTCACGGGCACAGAGGGCCCATCAGGATTTAACCCTACGCCGCACTGACCCATCTGTGAAGACGCTTTGTCGCCCTTTTCACGTTCTCATCTGTCGGCGTCTCTACCTTGGTGATGGTTACCCCTCTGGACAGTAACGACATCACTCGCCGAGGGCTGCTTCCAGTGGACTATACCGCCCAAGTGTGTCGGTGACGCTGACCCATTCGCTGGCCTTGGGGACATCTTCCTTGCCGATCATCCACATCAGGGAGAGAGGTTTAAATGTCACAATTACACTTATAATTTAATACAAGAGCTGTGTTGGTTTATGAGAAAAGTGTATTTTTGAAAATTATACTTACAATTAAAAGTTACAGCCTATTACATTTTTGAGAAAGGCCTTAATGCAAAAAATCTGAATTATAATTAAAAGCCAGAGCCACAGGTGCAAATATTTGTAGTTTTCTAGTCACAATATATGAAAAAAAGTTTTAAAAATCGAGACTCAGTATTGAGGAGGAGATTAAGAACACATATTGCAAAGAGAGATACCTTTTGGGGCAGATCATCTCTCATGACTCGTCGTTATAAAATTGTTTACTGTTGCTTTAAAATGTCATTAGGACATTTAGAATAATCTGTAAGTAATTACGTTTAATCAATTTCCTTCTTTTCCTAAAAACAAAAATTAAACTTTTCAATTGACACACCCAGGTATTTTCCAAAACTTATGGAAATAATAAACAAATTATGTTTCAAGACAAACTTCACAGACAATAAATACCTCGTGACGATGGTCCGGCCGTGGTATTTCTCGGGTATTCGTCCCGATCATCCTCAGTTCCAGCGGAGGGGTCCTGGTGATGAAGACATGTGTCAATTAGGAATATCTTCTTCTATCTGTACAGTTTTGGGTTTTTTTTGACATAGAAAATAAAGAGTCGTTAAAAAAATTTTTGTATGTATAGTATAAGGTTTTACGGCGCTCGCAACTGCTAAGATAAAATTGTTTACTGTAGGTTTAAAAGGACAGAAGGATAATTATAAAATCTGTCTGTAAATACGTTTAATGGTTTTCCTTCTTCTACTAGAAGTAAAAAATAAACTTTTACATTGATGTCAGACACACCCGGTAATTTCCTAAACTTACTGAAATAATAAACAAATTATGTTTCAAGACAAACTTCACAGACAATAAATACCTCCTGCCGATGGTCCGGCCGTGGTATTGTTTGGGTAGTCGTCCCGGTCATCCTCCGCTCCAGCGGAGGGGTCCTGGTGATGAAGACATGTGTCAATTAGGAATATCCTCTTCTATCTGTACAGTTTGTTTTTTTGTTTCAGAAAATCAAAAGAGTCGTTATAACATTGTTTACTATTGTTTTAAAAGATCAAAAGGAATTTAGAAAAATCTGTCCGTAAATACAATTCATCATTTTCCGTTTTCAATTAAATTGAAAAAAAAGACTTTTACATTGAACTCATGTCCATGGATAGGTATTTTTCTAATTTTATTGAACTAATGGACAAATGGTTTTCCACGACATATGTATCACGACTCAGTGGAATCCGGTACTCGTCAATTTTTGGGCATATGGAATTATTGGAATCATTTTGAAGGTTTTTCATATGCCTTGCTTTCGATGAATAAATATACATTTATCATGAGAAGAAGTCGAGATATTTGCGATTGAAGGAGATGGAGTCGCCTGGTTTCAGAAGTAACAGTAGCGGGAAAATGACCGCCAAAGATTTACAGTTCTTAAAAATTGCAAATTTACATTTCTTGTGTCTGTAATCAACGTTTTCCATAAAATACACACATAAAAGTGTTTTTGAATATACATACAAAGGTGATGAGTCAAAAGAAATTATTAAAATCCAAACTGGCTGAAAAATGTCCATTTTTCAGGTTCATTATTTTGACGAGCGCCTGATCTTACCACGATGCATCACATATTACTTAAACAAATACCTCCTGCCGATGGTCCGGCCGTGGCATTCCACGGTAGTCATCCCGATCATCCTCCACTCCAGCGGAGGGGTCCTGGTGATGAAGACATGTGTCAATTAGGAATATCCTCTTTTATTTGTACAGTTTTTTTTTTGTTTCAGAAAATAAAGAGAGGTTATAAAATTGTTTACTTTAGGTTTAAAAGGACAGAAGGATAATTATAAAATCTGTCTGTAAATACGTTTAATGATTTTCCTTCTTCTGCTAGAAGAAAAAAATAAACTTTTACATTGATGTCAGACACACCCAGGTAATTTCCTAAACTTACTGAAATAATAAACAAATTATGTTTCAAGACAAACTTCACAGACAATAAATACCTCCTGCCGATGGTCCGGCCATGGTATTGTTTGGGTAGTCCTCCCGATCATCCTCCGCTCCAGCGGAGGGGTCCTGGTGATGAAGACATGTGTCAATTAGGAATATCCTCTTTTATTTGTACAGTTTTTTTTTTGTTTCAGAAAATAAAGAGAGGTTATAAAATTGTTTACTTTAGGTTTAAAAGGACAGAAGGATAATTATAAAATCTGTCTGTAAATACGTTTAATGATTTTCCTTCTTCTGCTAGAAGAAAAAAATAAACTTTTACATTGATGTCAGACACACCCAGGTAATTTCCTAAACTTACTGAAATAATAAACAAATTATGTTTCAAGACAAACTTCACACACAATAAATACCTCCTGCCGATGGTCCGGCCATGGTATTGTTTGGGTAGTCCTCCCGATCATCCTCCGCTCCAGCGGAGGGGTCCTGGTGATGAAGACATGTGTCAATTAGGAATATCCTCTTCCATCTGTACAGTTTGTTTTTTTGTTTCAGAAAATTAAAAGAGTCGTTATAACATTGTTTACTATTGGTTTAAAAGATCAAAAGGAATTTAGAAAAATCTGTCCGTAAATACAATTCATCATTTTCTGTTTTCACCTAAATTGAAAAAAAAAGACTTTAACATTGAACTCATGTCCATGGATAGGTATTTTTCTAATTTGATTGAACTAATGGACAAATGGTTTTTAACGACATATGTATCACGACTCGGTGGAATCCGGCGCTCGTCAATTTTTTGGCATATGGAGTTATTGGAATCATTTTAAAGGTTTTTCATTTGCTTTGTTTTCAATGAATAAATATCCATTTATCATGAGAAGAAGTCGAGATATTTGCGATTGAAGGAGATGGAGTCGCCTGGTTTCAGAAGTAACAGTAGCGGGAAAATGACCGCCAAAGATTTACTGTTCTTGGAAACTGTAAATTTACATTTTTTGTGCCTCTTATCGACGTTTTCCATAAAATACACACATAAAAGTGTTTTTGAATGGACATACAAAGATAAGGAGTCAAAAAAATGTTTTTTAATCCAAACATTTTTCGGATTTCATTGTTTTGACGAGCGCCTGATCTTACCACTATACATCACATATTATTTCATAGACAAATACCTCCTGCCGATGGTCCGGCCGTGGTACTCCTTGGTAGTCGTCCGCATCATCCTCCGCTTCAGCGGAGGGGTCCTGGTGATGAAGACATGAGTCAATTAGGAATATCCTCTCCTATCTGTACAGTTTGGGGGTTTTTTTGTCATAGAAAATAAAGAGTCGTTATAAAATTGTTTACTGTAGGTTTAAAAGGTCAAAAGGACATTTAGAAAAATCTGTCCATAAATACATTTGTGAGGTGTGCTGACAAAATGAGTTACTTCTCGGATTTGAGCATTATGGAAATTGATACATCAACTTGATAGGTGAAGTTTGTACAATTTGTGAGCCTGGAATGATAAAAGACACTGTAGACCTGAACAAAATTTCATCAATTGAACATCTAAAGATCTGACCCCAGTTTTGATTTTCAGCCGATATCTCCATTCTTGGATCGTGACAAGTAATTCATTTTGTCAGCACATTTCACATTTGATAATTTTCTGTTTTCACCTAAGTTTAAAAAAACCACTTTTACATTGAACTCATGTCCATGGATAGGTATTTTTCTAATTTTATTGAACTAATGGACAAATGGTTTTCAATGACATATGTATCACGACTCAGTGGAATCCGGTGCTAGTCAATTTTTGGGTATATGGAGTTATTGGAATCATTTTAAAGGTTTTTCATTTGCCTTGCTTTCGATGAATAAATATCCATTTATCATGAGAAGTCGAGATATTTGCGATTGAAGGAGGTGGAGTCGCCTGGTTTCAGAAGTAACAGTAGCGGGAAAATGACCGCCAAAGATTTAAAGTTCTTGGAAACTGCAAATTTACATTTTTTGTGCCTCTTATCGACGTTTTCCATAAAATACACACATAAAAGTGTTTTTGAATGGACATACAAAGATGAGGAGTCAAAAAAATGAAAATGTTTTTTAATCCAAACATGCTGAAAAATGTCCATTTTTCGGATTTCATTATTTTGACGAGCGCCTGATCTTACCACGATGCATCATATATTATTTCATAGACAAATACCTCCTGCCGATGGTCCGGCCGTGGTACTACTTGGTAGTCGTCCGCATCATCCTCCGCTCCAGCGGAGGGGTCCTGGTGATGAAGACATGTGTCAATTAGGAATATCCTCTCCTATCTGTACAGTTTGGGGGGTTTTTTGTCATAGAAAATAAAGAGTCGTTATAAAATTGTTTGTATGTATAGTATAAGGTTTTACGGCGCTCGCAACTGCTAAGATAAAATTGTTTACTGTAGGTTTAAAAGGACAGAAGGATAATTATAAAATCTGTCTGTAAATACGTTTAATGATTTTCCTTCTTCTACTAGAAGCAAAAAAATAAACTTTTACATTGATGTCAGACACACCCGGTAATTTCCTAAACTTACTGAAATAATAAACAAATTATGTTTCAAGACAAACTTCACAGACAATAAATACCTCCTGCCGATGGTCCGGCCGTGGTATTGTTTGGGTAGTCGTCCCGATCATCCTCCGCTCCAGCGGAGGGGTCCTGGTGATGAAGACATGTGTCAATTAGGAATATCCTCTTCTCTCTGTACAGTTTGTTTTTTTGTTTCAGAAAATTAAAAGAGTCGTTATAACATTGTTTACTATTGGTTTAAAAGATCAAAAGGAATTTAGAAAAATCTGTCCGTAAATACAATTGACCATTTTCTGTTTTCACCTAAATTGAAAAAAAAGACTTTTACATTGAACTCATGTCCATGGATAGGTATTTTTCTAATTTTATTGAACTAATGGACAAATGGTTTTTAACGACATATGTATCACGACTCGGTGGAATCCGGCGCTCGTCAATTTTTTGGCATATGGAGTTATTGGAATCATTTTAAAGGTTTTTCATGTGCTTTGCTTTCGATGAATAAATATCCATTTATCATGAGAAGAAGTCGAGATATTTGCAATTGAAGGAGGTGGAGTCGCCTGGTTTCAGAAGTAACAGTAGCGGGAAAATGACCGCCAAAGATTTACAGTTCTTGGAAACTGTAAATTTACATTTTTTGTGCCTCTTATCGACGTTTTCCATAAAATACACACATAAAAGTGTTTTTGAATATACATACAAAGGTTATGAGTCAAAAGAAATTATTAAAATCCAAACTGGCTGAAAAATGTCCATTTTTCAGATTTCATTATTTTGACGAGCGCCTGATCTTACCACGATGCATCACATATTACTTAAACAAATACCTCCTGCCGATGGTCCGGCCGTGGCATTCCACGGTAGTCGTCCCGATCATCCTCCACTCCAGCGGAGGGGTCCTGGTGATGAAGACATGAGTCAATTAGGAATATCCTCTTTTATTTGTACAGTTTGGTTTTTTTGTTTCAGAAAATAAAGAGAGGTTATAAAATTGTTTACTTTAGGTTTAAAAGGACAGAAGGATAATTATAAAATCTGTCTGTAAATACGTTTAATGATTTTCCTTCTTCTGCTAGAAGAAAAAAATAAACTTTTACATTGATGTCAGACACACCCAGGTAATTTCCTAAACTTACTGAAATAATAAACAAATTATGTTTCAAGACAAACTTCACAGACAATAAATACCTCCTGCCGATGGTCCGGCCATGGTATTGTTTGGGTAGTCCTCCCGATCATCCTCCGCTCCAGCGGAGGGGTCCTGGTGATGAAGACATGTGTCAATTAGGAATATCCTCTTCCATCTGTACAGTTTGTTTTTTTGTTTCAGAAAATTAAAAGAGTCGTTATAACATTGTTTACTATTGGTTTAAAAGATCAAAAGGAATTTAGAAAAATCTGTCCGTAAATACAATTCATCATTTTCCGTTTTCACCTAAATTGAAAAAAAAAGACTTTTACATTGAACTCATGTCCATGGATAGGTATTTTTCTAATTTGATTGAACTAATGGACAAATGGTTTTTAACGACATATGTATCACGACTCGGTGGAATCCGGCGCTCGTCAATTTTTTGGCATATGGAGTTATTGGAATCATTTTAAAGGTTTTTCATGTGCTTTGCTTTCGATGAATAAATATCCATTTATCATGAGAAGAAGTCGAGATATTTGCAATTGAAGGAGGTGGAGTCGCCTGGTTTCAGAAGTAACAGTAGCGGGAAAATGACCGCCAAAGATTTACAGTTCTTGGAAACTGTAAATTTACATTTTTTGTGCCTCTTATCGACGTTTTCCATAAAATACACACATAAAAGTGTTTTTGAATGGACATACAAAGATAAGGAGTCAAAAAAATGTTTTTTAATCCAAACAGGCTGAAAAATGTCCATTTTTCGGATTTCATTGTTTTGACGAGCGCCTGATCTTACCACTATACATCACATATTATTTCATAGACAAATACCTCCTGCCGATGGTCCGGCCGTAGTACTCCTTGGTAATCGTCCGCATCATCCTCCACTTCTGCGGAGGGGTCCTGGTGATGAAGACATGAGTCAATTAGGAATATCCTCTCCTATCTGTACAGTTTGGGGGTTTTTTTGTCATAGAAAATAAAGAGTCGTTATAAAATTGTTTACTGTAGGTTTAAAAGGTCAAAAGGACATTTAGAAAAATCTGTCCATAAATACATTTGTGAGGTGTGCTGACAAAATGAGTTACTTCTCGGATTTGAGCATTATGGAAATTGATACATCAACTTGATAGGTGAAGTTTGTACAATTTGTGAGCCTGGAATGATAAAAGACACTGTAGACCTGAACAAAATTTCATCAATTGAACATCTAAAGATCTGACCCCAGTTTTGATTTTCAGCCGATATCTCCATTCTTGGATCGTAACAAGTAATTCATTTTGTCAGCACATTTCACATTTGATAATTTTCTGTTTTCACCTAAGTTTAAAAAAACCACTTTTACATTGAACTCATGTCCATGGATAGGTATTTTTCTAATTTTATTGAACTAATGGACAAATGGTTTTCAATGACATATGTATCACGACTCAGTGGAATCCGGTGCTAGTCAATTTTT